AATCTCACGTGAGGGCCCTACCCCCAGGACCTCATGTAATCCTAATCACCTCCCAAAGGCCTATCTCCAAACAAATACCATCACATCGGGGTTAGGACTCCAACATATGGGGGCACACAAACCTCCAGTCCTTAACAGTGGGGAATAAACAAGAGATTAAGAGATTATAAAAAGGAAAAGGAGAGGAAGGAGGAAGGAAGGAAGGGAGATGACATTTCTGACCCTTCAGTTCCTACTTTCTAAGAAAGCACAGGAATCTGCAGTGGTTCTCAGCTGTTCTTCCAATGCAGTGAAGGACTCTGCCACTCCAGGCTGTGACCTCAAACATCCTCCAGAGAGGAGCTGTCTGAGTGTCTCCTCCTCCCGCCCTCTCCTTCTATTCTCCCTAGTTCAAGTCTGTGTGAATGGAGGAGCCCACCCCCTGCCCCGCTCCCCCTGCAGCTGGAGAGGGAAGGTGGATTTCTGGGACAGGGAGAAGGGAGAGGCATCGGCCCAGACAGTGCATCTGACTGGTGAGTTGGCTCTGAGGGGCTGGGGTGCACCCCTGGGCTCCTGTGACCTCTCTTGGGTCATTTGGCCCTTGGCCCCACACCAGCCTGGGAGGGCACCAAGTCCTGCCCAGGAAGTCAGGGGAGGCTTCCGGGAGGAAGGTGCATTCAGGCTGAGACCCAACAGACCCTCTCTGTCCCTACGTGCCCCCAGCCCACTTCTGGGCTCCCCCTTTCTCTTAAGCTCCTCAGGTAAGGAGTCCCTTGCCCACATGCACTGGGACAATCCACCCAGGTCCTCTCTTGGCAGCTCCTGGCCCTGAGCCTACAGGCCAGCCCTTCTCCCCCTACTCTCCTGTTCTGCCTGAACGTCTCAGACGGCACCTCCGTGTTGCCTTTTCTCAGCACAAGGAAGACTTTAGAAATGTCTTCTGAGTGAATCCATCCTTGTCCTGAGTCTATGGTTCCCGTCCCTTCTCACTCTGTCCCCGCCCTCTGAGACCCCAGCTGTGCTAGTCAGGGATCTCCAGAGAAAGAGACGTGTGTGTGTGTGTGTGTGTGCATGTGTGTGCGTGTGTGTGCATGTGTGTGCGTGTGTGTGTGTGGCAGTTCTCTCTCCTGTGTGGGGGAGGTCAGCCTTTGTCCTGTAAAGGCCTTTAGCAGATTGCATGAGGCCCACCCACACAATGGGAGCATCCATTTCATCCGAGTCCACTGACTTAAATGTTCATCTCATCTTCACAGAATGTCCTCTTAGAAACATCCAGAATCATGTCTGGGCACTGTGGACCAGCCAAGTGGACGCATAAAATTAACCATCACACACGTGTTCACCTGCCACCTGTGTGTGGGGACGCCTGGACTACATACCACCGGGACGTCCCCGTGGCCTCTGGCTTGCAGGCAGCATGAGTGTTCTGTGAAGGATGCCCCCAGGGTATGTGACAGCCTTCTCAGGCCAGCCTTCTCCTCTCTGCCCTGGTCCCCCAGGGCCCTCACCATTGCCTCAGACCTGACATATCCTGTCCTTCCCTTCACATCTCCTTGTCCAAGCACTGGGCTCTGCTTCTTCTCTGGCCTCCCTGGCTCCCAGGAGAGACATCTCGGGTGAGTCGGGGAGCTCTTTGTCACCCCATCTGCTCCTTCTGCTCTGAGACTCAGCAGGTCTGGGGCCTGGTGGGCTACACGCCTCTCTGCGTGCCTCAGTGTCCCTACTTGTAAAATGGGACACCAAGGGTTATCAATAACTATAAATGTGCCTGAAGGCTTTACGTCATGTGGAGCTTCTGGAACAGCAACTGGCTGTAGAAAGTGCTGGGTGGGGCAAGCAATTTGTTAGGATTATGATAATGATTACTTATTCACTCAGTAAATATGTGCATAAGTTTCCTAGGGCCACTGTAATAAGTTACCACAAACTGGGTGGCTTACAACAGAAATTTACCCTCCCAGAGTTCTGGAGGCCAGAAGTCCAAAATCAAGGTGTTGGCAGGCCAGGCTCCCTCCAAAGGTTCTAGGAGAGAATCCTTCCTGCCTCAGCCAGCTTCTGCAGGCTGCTGGCTGCTGTGGTCTAAATGTTTGTGTCCCCCCAAATTCACATGTTGAATCCTAACCCCAAGGTGATAGCATCAGGAGGTGGGGCCTTTGGGAGGTGATTAGGTCATGGGGGTGGAGACCCCATGAATGGAATTAGTGCCCTTATAAAAAGGACCCAGAGAGCTGCCTCGCCCCTTCTACCATGTGAGGACACAGTGAGAAGATGCCGTCTATGAACCAGGAACTGAGTCTGCTGGCACCTTGATCTTGGACTTCCAGCCTCTAGAATGGTGAGAAATAAAGTCCTGTTGTTTATAAGCCTCCCAGTTTAAGGTAATTTGTTATAGCAGCACAAACAGACTAAGACACCTTGGCTTCAACGGCTTGCAGACACACATCTCTGCTTCTGTCTTCACATGGCCTTGTCCTGAGGCTTAAGTACTGCCATTTCCACACCCCATCTTTAAAATAAAACAACACTTACTTATTTATGTTGCTCACAAAATAAGCAGTCACTGTAGGAAATTTGCAACTACAGGAAAAAAAAATAATAGGGGCCAGGCCGTGGCTCACTTGGGAGAGCATGGTGCTGACAATACCAACTCAAGGGTTAAGATCCCCTTACCAGTCATCTTTTACAAAAAATAAAAAAATAAAAATAAATAAAAATTTAAAAATCTGCCTGGCTGTACAGAGCAGCTGCTGTCCTGTACCAGAGGCAACCTGGAAGCCAACGGTCCCACCAACGGACATTTATCTGGGATCAAGTGTTTTGAACGTTCAGTGTCAGCCCCACCCTTTCTCACATCGGTTCAGTTCCGCTTCCCACACTTCCCATGTGGTTTGGTTAAAGATGCCAGCCAGCGAGACTGTCACTTTGCCTCAGACATTGCAAATGCTAGACGTGGTGGCAGGGGTCAAAACCTTAGACAGGAAGGGTGATAGAAGATGGGGCAGGTGGGGCATTTGGCCACAGGGACACCATCCAGGACGCTGGTGGCAGAAATTCCTTCTTCTTTCCTTACCTGGGGGGTCAGAGCTGAGACCATGAAAGAAATGATGGGGGTTGGGGGGCTGCATTCTCAAGCCAGCGTGCTGATGGTGCCCCAGTCTGAGGATGACATTTAGGAGGCAGATTTGCTGGGATTTATCACACTCAGCCTTTGCCTCACACACCATTCCTTGAATTGCCGGGAAAGTTTCTTGGGGAGAAAAACAAGGGGACACAGCGTTCCCTTGTCCCCTTGTAGGAACACGGGCTGGGTGGTGGGATGGTGCCAGGTGAGCACAGGCCATCACTCTCCTTCACAAGCGTGTGTCCTCCTGGGTGAGATGCCTCACTCAGCACACTGTGTGCTGGATGGCAGCACTAGCGGCTCCAGCCTCATCATGGAGAGCGCCAAGGCACTGCTGTCGCATCTTCGATGTGCGGCTTGGCTCTAAGCATCTTCATCCTGCATGCTGATAGGACGCTGATGGTTGGATAGCAAGCTCACTTGGAAACGCACCACCTGGGGTGGGGCTGGTGCTGAGCTGCCTCAGAGGGGCGTCTCATTCTGTGGTTGTGCTGATCGGGGAATGGGGGCTGGTGATTGCCTTTGGGACCCAAGATTGCGTCTTCTCAGAGCCTCTTGTGTTCGCACACTTGCTCCTCTTGCTGGATCTGTCCCATGCCTCCCCTGATGTGAAAGTGCTCCTTTGGAGCCGTGGGCACATCTGCCTGACCCCTATACTTCCATGCCAAGTGCGGCTGTTGGTTTAGTTGATTTAGCCAACCTGTGTGGATCCCTCCAGGGGGCCAGGCTCTGGACTGACCAGGCCTCTGACGGCAGGGCTCAGGCCTCATCAGCCCCACGGGTTCAGCTACTGGGGTAGAAACTATCCATAGAGCATGAACATTTTTGCAGCAGAAGGCTCAGGGAAGCATTTTGTGGGGAGCCCGATGCTCCTATACCAGTTTCTAAGGGATCCCGTTAATGGCACCAGGCTGGCTGAGCATCACAGATGCTGCCAAGATGCTCTCTCCGTACGGACTCCTCTGTCATTTGCTACTTGTGTTGTTCCAGGACATGGAACAGCCTAAACCAGAGAAAGTGTGAAAAGTGTGGAAGTGTGGATACACGTAAGTATCCACACCCGTGGACATGGGTGCTTATGTGTATGTGTGTGTGTGTGTGTGTGTGTGTGTGTGTGTGTGCAACTAAAATTCAACAAAGCATCATGTGGAGTTTGATATGGGGGCAAAGTCTGGTGAGGTAGGCACCCAAAATGATTTAGCAGACAGAAGGTGCTGGAAGGACTCCTGCTGATGAGGAGGGCCGATAGCAAACCTTGCACAAACCTTGCACGTAGGACGCTGTGAAGACGAGTGCATCCACACCTGCATGCTTCAGCTGTATTTTTAACCAGTGTTGCCTACGTACTGGTGTTAGCAGGATTAAAATGGAAAACAAAAGCAAACACAAGAAGAGGGATGAATTCAAGGTCCTGATCCTCACTGGGCTGCATGCAAGAAGAAACAGAAAATCCTACAGATCAAAACGAATTACTCAAAGATGGGAAGTAATATTCTGGAGTTCACCGAGAGGGCACAAGTGCCCCAAGGAGACAGAACCAATCCACAGTTGGAATGTTCCACCAAGCTCAGATGGTGCAGATAGCCTTGAAAATTCAGTGCTTCCAAGTGGAGGCTCTTCAGAGGTTATTTTGTCCCCAGAGGGAAGCAGCGATGGAGACCTTGGCCCTGGGAAGACACATGGCAGCCCTTTTCCTTGCTTTTTACAAAGCGAGCGTCTGCCGGGGGATCTGGGAGAGAGAGCCTGGGTGCACGTAAATGTCTCAAGCAAGAACAAGCTGGGGCTGGGCCTTCCTGCATGGGCACTGTGCCACCCAGAATGTCCCCAGTTCTGGTCCCCAAAGCAATAGCAGAAAGGAAAGGGCATCTCTCTCCCCTGCGATAGAGACCCTCAAACATGCTGCGTAAACGCATCTTTTTTTTATTATCTGAGGATTTAAATGTTAAACCCCCATCTCCCGGTACATGAGTGCCCCACCCTGTGTGTCCCCCCAATCGTGCATGCATTTGCTCTGACACATGCCTACAGTCTAGGTAGGCTGACCAGCCTGTCAGTCCCCCAGTCTCCCACACATGGCACCGATGCCTCGCTCTGCTCATAAACACAGGACATGCATGTGTCCTTGTGCTCTGGCACCGTTCTGACATTTAATGCTGAATTTACACAGACATATGCATCACATTGCACTGGTCAGTTCTTCTAAGACACGTCTGTGAAAAAAAGCACCGTGTCCTTTGTGTCCACGTGAGAACTTCTCAGAAGCAGCACCGGGAAACACAACTCCACCAAAAAAGAGTACAGTACCCATTTCTGTATAAGAATATATTATTTAAAAGACAGTTTAAAAATAAAAATTCTGTACAGCATCATGAATTCCTTTTTTTTTTTGTATCAGTGAACAAAATGGTTCCTAGAAAATGTGGTCTTGTGGTGCCAGGCGCCCAGAGTGACGGTTCCTGCACAGACGGTCCGCGAGGCTCAGCCAGCGTGGCCTGGAAGGCAGCCCACACTCCTGTCTTCTTCAGACACAGTCTGCTTGAAAAAGACAAACGATCACTGGTTGGTTCTCGTGGGACTGCACATGCACAGGCAATACAACAAACGTCACAGGTCACACACAGACCACTGTAAAAGAACGAGGCTATCGGACATCCTTTGAACACATCTAGGTAAAATGAAATGCTATCGCTCCTTCTTGTGAGCCTTTCAAAAATATGACCTGACTTAAAAATGAAAGGCCAACATGTACTGAGCATTTCGTGTGAACCAGCACTTGGCTCACTTAATTGCGAAAACAACAACAATAATGATATTATTACCTGTAGTTTAGAGATTAGGTCTCTGAGACGCTTGTGTGTGTCACTCAGCTGATGATCAGAAAGCTCAGACTCAACACAAGGGGTGATGGGTGCTGAAGCCCGTCACCACTCCTCTTACAAACCAAACCCAGGTTCTCAGGCCCTGCACCTTGATTGCTTTATAAACCACGATGCTCTCAAATGATCTGTTAGACATGTGTACGGTGTGTCCTTATTATGAGGAGGCCAGATGGGCCGCTTCTGCGTTCCACGTGGACTAAATGAATGACTCGTATCGAGTGCACAGGAAAACGCCTAAAGCGAGATGCTTTATTTTTGAGAAGCTCTGAGTGTTCCAACTGCACTTTTAAAAAACGCTTTCTCTTGTAAGTGGTGCATATACCAATTCTTGGTGTTTTTATTAACTAAAGCTTGTTCCTCTTTCAGAGCACAATCGTAATTATTAAACGCAAGGAATAAGTTTCACTTATTTAAAAATATCCCAGAATTCAGACGTTCTCCCTCCCTCCCTGCCCCCTCCTTCCACGGTTTCCCCCGCCCTCCCAGTGTTAGTCTAAGCTCCTGGTGGCACTGAGACTTCAGAACAGCATTACCTCCGCTTTTTTTCACATCTCTGCTTTTCTCTCTGGGCTTTTCGGTGGCCCCCGACGTCAAGCTCCCGGTCTCCTTCTGCAGCTAGCACAGAGCGCAGAGAAGCGAGAGTGAGGGCCAGAGGGACGGGCGCGCCGCTTGTCTCTTCGGGAGGGTTCTGTTGCCTGCAGATGCTAATTGTGGCAGACTGCTGCCCGCAGCCTCCGCGTGCCAGAACACCTCACACGAGCTTTCCAGAGACAGCTCTGCTTGCGCACAAACTTCCTGTCACCTGAGGCCTCGCCTGTGTGGCTGTCATCTGGAGCCTGGACAACGGCTCACAATGGCTGCAGCTGCCATAGCCACAGGGACAGGCAATGGACGCAGAATCCCCAGCTCTTCACCTCTTTTGTGTGTCTGTCCTTTCTGGGGGCAGGAAGGAACCCTGGAGGGTCTTAGTGCCCCCACCAGGCAGCAGGGCTTACGACTTGCAGACTCAAGTCCTTCTGAGCAGAGCCTCACAGGATGACCCGGGAGAGGCAGAAGCCCTTTTAGCTCTGCCGTTCATTCTGGGGGCAGGAAGGAACCCTGGAGGGTCTTAGTGCCCCCACCAGGCAGCAGGGCTTACGTCTTGCAGACTCAAGTCCTTCTGAGCAGAGCCTCACAGGATGACCCGGGAGAGGCAGAAGCCCTTTTAGCTCTGCCGTTCGGGGTCTGGGCCAGGGCGCCCTGCCCCTGGGACACTCAGGAGCCTGTGGGGTGGGCACGCGGTGGCGGCGGCTGAGTCCTGTGACCAGCACACTGTGAACTCCCTCGGCAGAGTGCAGAGCACCACGCATCCTCCTCGGCGTGTGCAGTTTTGGTTTCACTGAGGGTACAGGTTTCCTAATTTTATGGATCCCGGCTTTCTGGTGGCATGGAAATGTGCTCCTGCCCCAGGGGTACCCTGCTCAGCCTCGCCCAGCTTCTGGAGTCAGGAGTGTGGAGTGGAGAGCCCGCTTGACCTGCTCGCACAGGGAAGCCTGTTTTCTAAACACGACGCTTACCTCTTTCGTGGCATCGTCGATTTGTTTCAGCTCCTCGTACCGATCTCTGGACTCCCAGAGGGGCTGCAGCATGAGCTCCTCAACCACGGGGAAGAGCTGAGGAGAAAGATGGACTCGCTCAAGCCCATCCTCCTTAAGGCAGCAGAAAATGTTTGCGGAAAATAGGTATTGGGTCTGTGGTGTCCCAGTGGATCCCGCCAGAAATTTACTCCCACCCAAGTGGCACTTTCGAGGCCTCCTGGCAACTCCAAGGTGACCAAGGTTCAGAAGCCATTTGGTCAATTCCACCTCCTGAGACTCTTGCACTGGCCAACTCTCGCCTGCCCTGTTTCCTGCTCATACACCCTCCTCCCTGCACCCCCTCCGTGTGCCCTATACCCTGTGAGGCAAAGTTAGGAACAGATTAGGAGGGTCTTAAGACAGGCAAAAGGAGCTGCAGAGGCCTCCCAGCTGCTGGTCCTGGGCATGGGGATTGGGAAGGGGTCTCACAAAGCCACCTGGGATAAGGAGCCATAGGACACAGGGTGGCGAGAAAGGGCACGAAGCTGAGAGGGTCTATGGACTCTGTCCAAGGTCCATGCAGGTGGAGGCCTCAGGCAGGTGGGCACAGACGGTGCTGGGACCTGCAGGGAGCTGGGTGGGAGCGTGATGTGGGCAGGGAGCCAGACAATGTGTGTGTAGTGTGTGCACGTGTGTGCATGCGAACAGATGTGTGTGCCTGTGTGTGCAGGTGCATGTACATGTGTATATGGGTGTGCAGTGTGTGCTTGTGTGTGCATGCCAGCAGATGTGCCTGTGTGTATGTGTGTGCAGGTGCAGGCACATGAGTGGATGTGTGCATGTGGGTGCATGTGAGTGAATATACATGCCTGTGTGAGCATGTGTGTATATCTGTGTGCATGTGTGTACATGTGTGCAGGTGCATGCACGTGAGTGGATGTGCATGCACATGAGTGGATGCATACATGCATGTGCGTGCACAGGTATGCAAGTGCACACGTGTGTGCATTTCTCACTGTGGCATCATCAGCATGTGCTGACCGTTACTCACCTTGGTCACCGTTTCAAACATCGGGATCAGGACAAACTTGATGAACCCAATCTGGGCTGTAGCTTTGGTCACTTTGTCTCGGTCCATGAACGGGGCCACAGGAAGGCCTTCTGACTTCTCACGGTCACTCTGCAGGGAATGCAGGAGACAGCAACATTAAAGGTAGAAATGCCCATGGATCTGGAGGACACTGAGGATCACTGTTCTAGAGGAAGAGCAAAACAGACTAATTAACCAACGGCCACCTAAACTGCACCACAGATGTGTATCAATCAGTGAGAGCAGGAGAGAGATGACACTACCTAGGTCCTAACTTGGGCCTTTGCTAGGCATCGGTCGGTCACACATATCACAGGCCACCCAGCAGCGAAGCCTGAGAAATCCTCCCGCGAGCTCCTGGGGTAGATCAAGCTGTTGTATTTGGCAGCTTGTTGTCCTTTGTGACATCTTCCCTTTCAGGCTGGCTTGGCTTCCTGTGTCTCCCATCTTCCCCGCGGCCATTCTTGTGAGCTGACCTGTGTGGTTTCCCCCTCCTGGGCCCTCCCACCTCTACACTTCCTACTTCTTGACTTTTAGCCAGTTCGTGCAAGTCTGCCCCTAATAGTGGCTCAATTAGTGGTGACAGATGGCAGTTTTACATTAGCCTCTCTGGGTTGTTACTGTCTTTCACAAATCACAGCCTATCTCATTTCTGGGTACGCCCGTGGTGAGGCTTTCTGGAGGCTGGCGGAGCTGTGGGCTGCCGGTGATGCTAGTTCACCTGGAGCGCTCCTTCAAATGCAAACCCTTGTCAAATGGGGCCACTAAGAGTGATTAGAGGTCCAATTTTCTGCCAGGCTCTTACCTGCATAAAATATTCTTCTAACAAACAGTCCACCCAGGGCTCTGCAACTTCCATGGGACGGACCTCGTTAGAGATATCACAGCATTTTATCAAAATCATCTTCAGCTGAAAGAGGAGATTTTGGAATTTAGGCAATGGAAGACAACACAGCCATGGCTGCAGTTTGGGTCTGGATGTGGCAGCACAGGCAGGAAGGCAGGAGCTCACGCGCCATCCCTCCAGGGGCATGGCCACTTCACTCTGTGGTAGGTGCCCTTGTGGTTTGTGTTTAGATCTCTCAGCCTCACCCAGAGAGACTGGGGAGCACCATTGCACCCACAAAGCAACAGAGTCTTTTCTGGATTTACAGACATTTTGTAATACAAACTATATATTGTAAAGTTCAAAAATAACTTCTTGGTAGTTGGGGATATAGGAAAAATATATAGGAAAACCATCGTTAGGAAGCATAGTGCACCCACAAAGCAACAGAGTCTTTTCTGGATTTACAGACATTTTGTAATACAAACTATATGTTGTAAAGTTCAAAAATAACTTCTTGGTAGTTGGGGATATAGGAAAAATATATAGGAAAACCATCGTTAGGAAGCATAAGTCTAAAAAGGGTAATAGAAAGAAACCCACTGGGTTGGGTAGTGCTGGGACCCCTGAGCAATGAAGTAATGTGTTTAGAGATACAGGTTGATGACGGGGACCCTCACTTCAGCACACAGAGGCCCTGCCTTTGTACCCCCACACCTGCAAATGCTGGGAGAGAAACTGAGCTCTGCCCTGCTGACCCATGCATGTTTTCCACTATGCAGAACTCCAATTCTGGAGTTAGAAAAATCACACAAATCCCAAAGGTGGCCTTGGCTCTGCCCTCTGCTTGCAAACCTGGTGCCTTCTCGTGTCAACTGGGTCTGTGTGTGCTGGGACCATGTGCATCCTGCCTATGTGCACTGGCTCAAGTGCCGGCCCTGCTATGGGGATTGGGCGTGCACCCCCGAGGTCCTGTCTGGGTCCCCCCTTCCAGCCTCCCTGGTCACCCCAGCCTAGATGACGCCCTTCACAGCACTGCCACGCACTGGCCGCATGCTCTGGTGCTATTCCCCAGATGGGCACGTTTTTCATCTTCCCAGGAGTAGCCAGCTACCTGCCCTCAGGACCGGCTGGGAGGGCCAGCGTCCTGCGGCCCTGCCTTGTGCCAGGCACAAATGACCGGCACCTGGAACTACCAACTTTGCAGATCGAGGTGATGGCCGCAGATCAGGGTCTGGGGTTGATGGGGTGTGAACATCCACCTGAGGCACAGGCCCTGGACCTGCCTGCCTTGTCTGCCCCTCCGCAGCTCAGTCCAGCTCAAGGTCTGCATGCAGCAGACTGGATCTGGCCTTTCTCATCTCCTCTGCGAGGAGTCCGGCTGCAGGCTGCAGGCAGTCACGGGGCTTTGCCTGGCAGCCCTCGTGGGAGAAACTGTCCCCACACCAGGACTAGTGCTGGCAAGGGTCACAGTCTCTGGATGGGTCAAGGCCGCAGGCCCTGCTGGCCGTGCTCCCATCTACATCCCCAGCCTGCTGCCTCCAGCGGAGGCCTCCTGAGGGGCCCAGGTGACTGGGAACTTTTCTACTCCCAGTTCTGCCCCCGCCCTCCCAGTTGCCCGTGTCCACACAGGGGCTGGGGCTCTCGTCTGGGTAGTGAGTAAAGGCTGGGCTGCCACCTTGGGTCTGGCTCCCCCTCCCTCCTGAGCACCTGGCAGCTCCATGCTCTGCCTCCTGCCGGCTCCCTGGCTCCCCATCTCCCCAGCTCCTGGGCTGGCCTTCCTCACGTCTCAGAGGGAGGCAGCGGCCAGGACAGAGGCCCAGCCTGCCTCTCTCCCTCCCACCTCCAGAGTCATCCTGGCCTCATTCCTCTCGGCCTCCCTCACATCCTCGAGGACAGGTAGCACGTGCCACAGTCCATGGGTTTCCCAGGAGTGAGGGACTAGCTTGCCACGAATCCAACATGCCTGTCTCTCTCTACTCTCCCTCTCAGTGCAGGGATGCTCCCTGGGATACTGACCTGGGGGAGATGTGTTCCCCCACTGTCGAGTTATTCACATGAGTGTGCCTTTCCTCCCATGCAAATATAGCATCAGCTACCTCAGCCTTATACAGCGAATGGTCCCCGAGGCTTGACCTTGCCAAGACTGGATGGTTAGAAGTTCAGCCGATCTAGAGGAGTGTCCCTGTCAATCAGCTTCTCTGGCAGTGGAAAGTGACGGTACTGATTTTAAACAGATGGTCAACACTGAAAGGGTGCGACTGCAGGAAGGACACTCGGTGCTCACACAAGCCTCAACATGACCCACGTTTGCTTCCCAGGCTGGGAAAGCATTTCCACTCATTTTTCTCTTTAAAAGGGGCAGACGCGGGGCAAACCAGGCACACCTCACTGGTCACCTGGCCCTGGTCATGGAGGGTGTCCCGAAACACCGAGTCAGGAGGCGTGGGGGACCTGCTGGGCCCGAGTTGCCCTCGCGGCAGCTGGTTCTCAGTACATCCTGGGACGCGCCTGCGTGGGACAGCCAGCCCTATTCTCAGGAAACCGAGCAGGATGCACTGCCCTCACCCATTAATCAGCTGCAAATCAAAGCCTTTCACCACACAGCACAGCTGTCGCAGGAGAGCAGGCCCTGTGAGGGGCCTTCCTAGTAAGAGTTATGACCTCGAAAACCAGCTCCATAGACACTTCATTCCAAGGCAAGGCTGAGACTTTCAGCTTCTCGGTTTCCGTCTGAGCTGGACAGGACGCCCCCCACTCAGCCAGCCCCCCAGAGGCAGAACTGCCACTCACCAGGGTCATGTGCTCCTCGTTGCTGTAGTCAAAATTCTCCATTTTTTCTTTGAAAGAATCCATAATTTCTGCATGTCTTGCCATGTCAGTGGCCAGGATTAACGTGATCATCCCCTGAATAGGGAGAGAACAAAGCATTAACCCAGGTGCAATCTCAGCAATTACCCAGCAGACCCCTACTGTGCACCAAGACCCCTGGACACAGGACTTCATTTGGTCCTCATGCCAATGGCACACACGTGTCTGTGAATCACTGTCCCAATGTTTGGATATAAAGCTACAGAAATGTGAGGGCCAGAGGAACATGCCCAGGCTGCAGGTGGTGAGTGGGGGCTATGGGTCCAGCCCAGGTTACACCGCAGGCCTGCCAGGACGGCTAACTTGCACATCGTGGTGCTCACCTGTAATCTAGATGGATGGTTTGTTCCTTCCAGATCTTGTTGCTGGAGGCCAGTAGCTGATCTTCCCAACAGTATCTTTTCTATTCTCTAATCTATATGCAATTATATATTTATCATCCATCCATCCACCATCCATCCACCCATCCACCCATCCACCCACCCATCTATCATCCATCCACCCACCATCTATCCATCCATCCACCATCCATCCATCCATCTATCCATTCACTCATCTATGTATTCACCCACCGATCCATTTCCATAAACATAGAACACATCTCTGTGCCAGGTATGGTGTTCAACTTTTCCATATCCATCCATCCACCATCCATCCATCCATCTATCCATTCACTCATCTATGTATTCACCCACTGATCCATTTCCATAAACATAGAACACATCTCTGTGCCAGGTATGGTGTTCAACTTTTCCGAGAAAATAAAACCATAAGCATCAAATATAAAACCCAAATTAACCCATATATATAATCTCAAATGTATATTTTTGGGGGCAGGCATCACTTGCATTTTGAATATGCAGTTTTTCTGTAAAGATTTAATTGTGTTATTAATGAAGGATTTATTCAGTTATCCTTGAAAATCTCCAATGACATTTTGTTTTTTTAAGAAATTGGGACAACTGATTTTACCCCCATAAGAAAATCTTAATTGAAAGTCAGTAAACCACTTCAAGCAGGACACCCTGTGTGCCCGTGGTGGCAATATAAGGTGGGGTGGCTGCTCCTCTAATCAGGCTCCCCCCTTCTCTTTCAGGACACTGCTCTGACATAGCTTGTCGGGTGCTATGAACACTGAGGGGTGTTCGCTTGCTTTGGTTTTCTGGGTCCTGCTGGAGCTCCCACCTGGCAGCCATCAGAGCGGCTGCAGCAAATGCCATGTTCTCTCATCATGGTTTGGCCCTTCATCTTCAGAGGAAGGTTCGCTACAGCTTATCATAATACCACAGGGCGCATGCTCAGCGTGGGCCCATAAACATGGAAGGGAGGGCAGAAAGCCTGTAGATAAAGGGGAGAGACTGTACCAGGACTCATGATTCAATAATGATTGCAATTAAGCACTGAGTTTAGTTTGAACTTCTCGGAAACGCAGACAAACCGGGAAATGATGGTTTATGAGGCTGTTGCTCTCTGATAAATTGAAGCTTATCAGTTCTCCACGAGAGATATGAGCTTTTCCCAGCATTGGATTCTGGAGAGTCTGCAGCAGCTGCATCCTGAAGGAAGCCATTGGAGACTGAGAATGGGTGAGGTTCGCACCATGGACGGCACAAGACGGCCCCCTGCACGTGTATCCTGGGGCTGCCATACAAAGCACCATGAACTGGGTGACTTTCAACAACACAAATTCATTCTCTCACAGTTCTGGAGGCCAGAAGTCCAGAATCAAGGTATGGCAGGGCCAGGCTCCCTCTAAAGCCTCCAGGGAAGGATGCTTCCTGCCTCTTCCAGCTTCTGGTGGCCCCAGGTGTCCCTTGGCTGATAGATGCATCACTCCGGCCTCTGCTTCCATCGTCACATGGTCTTCTCCTCTGTGTCTGTGTCTTCTTCTCTTCTGTCTCTTTTAAGGACACTTTTCATTGAATTTAGAGCCCACCTGGGCAATCCGCGCTGATATTATTTGTAGATCACAACTTAAGTACATCTGCAAAGACCCTTTTTCCAGACAAGGTCACATTCACAGATTCTGGGGGTTGGGAGGTGAACACCTTTTTTGTGGGGGGAGGAGGTGCTACCATTCAACCCACTACACTACTCCCAGAGGTCACTCCCTGCAAACACCAGAGGATGGAGCACCAAGCTATGGCTTGATGGGGACCCCCTGGGCAGAAGGGGATGCTATTTTTGATGAGCTGGAGGTGTTTGCTGCAGGGCAGGTGGCCGCTGGGCAGGATAATCTTTCTTTCATGCAGGTGCCTTTCTTCTTCCTCCCGACGTGCACTGAGAAAGGGAAAGGTCCCTTATCTAAGTGGTGGCAAGACTTACCAAGACAATGGGTGGAGGGTGATAGCAGCTGGGGGTTAGGGGACTGTGGTCAGCTCTACTGGGCTGGATGCAGCAGATGTGTCTGTCCAGGCTTGTGTCCCCTTGGGCAAGTTATCTACCTACTCTAAGCCTCAGTTTCTTGGACTGAAATATGGACAAGCACTTATCTCAAGGGAGCCAGTGGGGGTTGAATTAAATGGTGGCTGTGAAGTGCAGGTCAGAGGATACCATATGCACCCGGCAAGGACACCTCTCTTCTTGGGGCTCCATTCGGGACCCTGGAGGAGGTGGGGAAGGAGGGTGGGTCTCCTAGGGTCCCTGGGGGGCACTGTGAGAATAGGAGCTTCCAGGAGCCTCCAGCCACCGGACAGTGGGTTTCCGCTCTGTCCCCACCCGAATGTCCCCCAACCCCAGTCAGCAGCCCCTCGCCCCGCACACCTGTCGGATCTGCTTGAACCCCTCTGGAGGCACATTGGAGAAGATGTTGCACTCGGGCTGGGCAAGGATCTGAAAGGCCACGGCACAGTGGTGGTTCTCCAGTGGGGAGATGTCGTTGTAGCGGACGGCCAGTTCCGTGCGGGCGTTGATCTGGTACCTGGAGTATGATCACAGAGCAAGCAGAGGCTCAGGCACCCGGCACTGGGGCACCTGCATGTCAGGGCAGCCATGCGGGGTGTCTGGCAGCTCCTGCAGAGGCTGAAGGAAGCGTGAAGGGCTGGTGAAGCTGACTGCACATGGTCTGCCCATGCCCGGAGCTCCCTTATGCTGCACTGCCACCCTGGAACTGGATATCCCCACCAGGACAGTGCCCTGAAGGCATCACGGACTTTTGCAAAAATTGCCAAGCTTTTAATATGTGTCAAAGGCAGACATCTGGGAGAAGAATCAGGGTATGTGTCTGCTCAGAGCTGTGTTGAAGCCCTCACTGCAGGCCTGTGCTGTGCGCATCGTGTGCAGAAAGGGAACAGGTGGATGTCTGTGGTGGCGGCCACACCTCGGAATCCACTAGGTTCTGACAGATAAGGACTCTCAGGACACTTGACATCATCGCAAACACACATTCAGCAAAAAGGACCAATGCGTCACTATGAGCGCAAGCCAGTGCCACATGGCCTGGACTCTGTCAGTTCCGTGGGGCGGAGCTCTGCACCCTGCAGAGGCAGGAGTGGTCGGTGTCCATCAGGGCTTGGACCATCCTAACCCCGGCCCTGCAGGGGACCCCTCCCACCCCCTGCTGTCCTGCAGCTCCTTCTCCTGCTCACTCGCCCTTGGCCTCTGCCCCACCCCTGCTGCCCATGGGAGGGTGAGCACAGAGGACACGGAGCAAAGGGCTGCCTGCCACCCCTTTCCACACAAGCCTCACTCCGCTGGGGGGTGGGGAGGTGCCGGCGCTCCCAGGGCTCTGCCGTGCACATGCTGGGCCCAGTGCCAGGACCGCGAAGGGTGCGGCAGCCCCTCAGGGTTTGATTACTCTGAAGGTTCCAGGTCAGGGGAAGCCCCAGGCCTTGCACAAAGTCCAAAAGCTGGGAGCTGCATCCTGCAGAGGCAGAGCCGGGGCCCAGGAGGCCTTTGCTGACAGCCCCGGCTGTGACCTGGTCTGAGGGTTGAGCTGATAAGTACCCCCAAATAGCCAGGGCACCTTTTAAAAGAAAAGAGAAAAAAATCATTACGTACGTGTTGTTGTATCCTGGATGGTCTAGATCATGGCAGATGGCTGCTGTCATTAGGATCAAGATATCCATTTGGGAAAACTTCTCCTGGATTGGAAAACAGTTTAAGGATGGGGTAAGGAAGGGGCTGGAATTGGAGGGGAAATGAGTGATACAGATAGGATCACAGGTAAGCCCCCTCTAGCCATCCCACTCTCCTGGCCTGGTGGGAGAGGACCCGCCTGCCTGGGGTGGGGGTGCTTCCCCAGGAGGGGGAGGGGCAGTTGGGGACCGACCCCAAGCCTGTCGCTCTCTCTGTGGGGCAGGCACTGGGCTCCCTGGAAGGGGTCTCCCCCTGCGCTGGGAATCAAGGTCTGGGTGGCAGCGGGGCAGGACCCACCTGGAGGCTGCAGAGCCAGACCATGCTGTACATCATCTGTGCCACACAGAAGCAGTGCCGGAAGTTGTGGAAAGGGTTGTTCCTGTAGTTGTCCTGCACGCAGAGCTGCGAGAGAGGCAGAGGCTCTGAGCGCTGTGCCCCAGCCAGCCCAGCTCTCTTCCCAACAGTGCCCGGGGGCTGCTAACTGTCCCAGATGCTTCCTGCCAGACCCTCACCCCAGCCAGAGGCCAACAGTGTCCTGTTTAGCACAGGTACAGATGAGGTGGCCCAGGGAGCCCAAGAATGTGCAACGGGCCACACCACAGCACCTGGGCAGGTGCGGGGATAGAGTTCCCACGGCGCTTTCACCCTGGGGTCACAGACACCCAGAGGTGTCTGATGAGCCACGTGGGGACAGGACATTGGGGGTGGGGCAGGGGATCTCCGGGTCTCCGATCACCAGGAAACCTTTAAGACTTTTAATACTTGGTTCTGAGCAAATATTATTTAAAAAAAAAATCAGCTGCTGAGCACACTCGTACACACCCACACACACACACACACACACACACACACACGTGCGCTACACATGCTGCTGCTTTAGAACACACAGCTTCAGTCTTTCCTCCCTGATTCTTACTATTTTCTCAATAATCAGAGCAGGAGCTTAGCAGGTAAGGAGTGTTTTGGAGAAAGGACAGAGATTGGCTGAATGTCCTGGCAGAATCTCCATGGAAATGTCACCTCCACTTGCAGGAAGCCCAGTGCCATGGGAAGGAAAGTGCCCCACAACCCACTCAAGCATAGCTCAATGCAGCCATGTGCTAAGGAAGGACGGAGGGGACTCGGCACTTACCAGCCACCTCTTGAGGATGATGGGGTTGATGCTGAAGTCTCTGACCAGGCCCAGGTCGTGGTACATGTGCTCCAAGCAGCTCAGCATCTGTGGGCACAGGAGCATGGTGGTCAGCAGCAGGGGCACGAGGTGGCTTCCCCCACTGTCCTAGGGATGCCACCAGGGCAAGCCCCATGGGAAGGTGGGCTCTCCCCTTCCCAGAGAGTCCCCTGAGAGCAGAGCCTGAGCAGTGGGACTTGGGAGGAAAGGCCTGTTGATGGCCCCTCGAGATCACCCAGACAGGGTGTGGGGTTTCAGAGAGCAGTTGGGGTCTCCTGGCATTGGAGGAAGCGGTTCAGCAAGGAACACAACCGGGAGAGAGGGTGCCCCTCCTCCCCAATGACCACACCAAAAATGATTTTATTTATTTCCACACATGAAAAGCAGTCTCCGTGGACCCATATCACAGTTTCGGCTTCTAGGACGCGGTTCCTTCCATCCAGCACCCGCCTGAGAACCGGGTGCCCTCACAGACAGAAAGGCCTTTTCCCTGCCTGAGGCTGGGGGATCGAAGGAGCTTTGACGAGATACATCCCAACACTGCTGAATTACACTCCTCTGGGGCCCCTTTGGGACCGGAGATATGCTTTTTCATGTCTTAATTGTAGCACCCGCAAGGTGAGCCTCTGTCTGGTGAGCTGCTCCTCCTAAACCTAATTTCATTGAATTCTGTCTTCCACAGAGAACCATGTTCAAGTTGAAGAGGATTTTGTCCTTAGTCCCGAAGAGGATTTATTTTCATTGGTGAGATCTATTTAAATATAGCTCAGAGCTTTGGAGCTCATTCAGCTAAGGAAGAAAAGATGAAATGATTTGAAAAAATGGGAGTTTGAAAAAAGTGGGCTTTGCTTTCTGGGAAAAGCAGGTCTTGGATGGAGGGCCTGGGGGATGGTAGATCTGCAAGACGGGGATGATTTAGACATCCCTGGGGGGCAAGTGGCAGGACACGAGCTGAGAGCTGCTCCGCCCAAGGCCACATGCCTAGGCCTGCCTCTGTCCAGTGCCTGCTCAGGGAGGTGTCCCTGATGGAGCCTGGAATAGCTTCCCAAGTTGTTCCCTCAGTACACTGCGTGACGTTCTCTTCCCAAAAGGGCATGTTCCGGACTGGACTGTGTCCTCGCCTGTCAATAGGCTAAAGCCCTAACCCCAGTGTGACTGTATCTGGGGATGGGCCTTAAGGAGGTAATTAAGGTTAAATGAAGTCATACGGGTGGAGCCCTAATCTAATAGGACTTCTGTCCTCATGAGAACACGAAGGGATGCAGGCAAGTGCGCACACAGAGTGAGGCCAGGTAAGGACACAGTGAGGAGGTGGCACCTGCAGCCAGGACAGAGGCCTCAGGAGAAGCCAGCCCTGAGACACCCGATCTCAGACTTCCAGCCACAGGGACCGTGAGGAACACACTTCTGCTGTTGGAGCTGTCCACTCTCTGGCACTTTGCGATGACAGCTTGAGCAAATTAGGAGAGGGCGTACCGCTACCATCCAGTTTTACTTGTTACCTAATACATGAGACCTGGAAATGCTGCCAAGTATGGTAAATTTTGTAAATCCAATCCTACGATCAAAGCGTCGGTGGAAAGCTATGAAATATGTTCAGGAGCAGAGACTTCAATGGCAAAGAATCCATTTGGAAAACTGGAAACTGCCCCAGAGGCGGGCCACATATGGGATCCTGGGATGTCACACACGGAACGTCCTTACAGCATTCTAACCACACACTTGTCTTCCTGAGGGACAGTGTGAGTGCAGGTAAGACAACAGGCAGCGGCGCCAGGTCTGGAGATGGGGGCCCTTGAAGGAGCCCCTTACAGAACAGCTGGGGTCTGCACCCTGGCGTGAGGAATGGAGGGACAGCAGCCTTGAAACCCCTCACTCTTGCCCCACCAGCCCAGACACTGCTGACGTTCCCCCAAAGAGGTGAACTGTCTGCTGTGAAATCAGAGTCAAGAGGTGAAGATGACTGGCAGACGAAACCATCTGGTGTCACTTACATGTGCAGACACGGCTTCGGAGCAGGAGTGGCACATCTGTTGCCACGATCACAGCCCAAGCCCTGGGTGGTGCGTGAGTGGCCAGTTCCCGGACAGATGGGAGAAACAGAGGCAGCATGCCAACATGTCTGCAATCTGGTGTGGGATGGGCAGGACCCTGGGCCGAGCTGCAGCATCGTCACCCCCCTGGGAGGAGAGAGGGGACCACCGCTGGGGGTCCTGACATTCCCTGGTGCCGCCTCGCAGGCGGGTGG